ATTTGAGAGGGCAAATCCTCCTGTATCTTTCCACCTGCATTCTCAGTATATTTTCTTGAAGTCTCTACTCTGCAGTACGTCTTAGTTAAAGGGAGATTCTCCCCAGGTACGGCAATGGGGCTGCTGTAGGCCATTAGAAACCCTGCAGAGCGGTCTGGGCTGTAAAATGCCACTTCCCTGCAGAGGAAATGTGGGAATGACACTACCCAACCCGGCCTCTGCACCGGCATGGCTTGACAGCCATTACATACTCTTATACATCAGGCTTTCCCCGACTTTTTGAAAAGTTAGAACCACAGGTGATCTGAAAGAAGGCATTTTCAGATTTCATTTTCTTAGCACCGGTAAATGAGCATGAAAACCAAAAATGTGGCTACCAACTGCAGCTGCACATATTTTAGTTTCACAGGCACAGTTCCTGTGACATTGAATCGCATTCCCCTGAAACTTCAAAGTGGATGACAGTTCTACACGACAACCTTTTCATTACACGTAATTAATTTTCCCTCTGATAAGTCAGCATCCCTTCAACATCCAAACTTGAAAATTACCGGCTAACACTGTCCCTAGGTGTCTAAACTCATATAAAACATTTGTTTGGTACTCAAATATCACAGCTCTGCATTCTGAAGAACATGAAATGTCCGTCAGAAATTACTAAGAAGTGGTGACTGGAATTTGGGAGCATTTACAGTAGGAAACAAAGGGACGTGTTACAAGGAGGTTGGGGTGGAGGTGCAATACTTGTGGCTGAGCATGGCTGAGAAGCATGGGGAAAATGGCTCAATCCCAGAATGAAAAATCAATTTGCCAAGGCCATGATAAGACTGGGACATCTATCTCCTCCGTATTTCATGAGAATCCATCCTGATGACCACAGTCATGCCTGCCATCAGAACAGAGTTCAGGAGGACCAGATGGGTGTGCCTGACAGCTGTTTACAGCAGACAGACATCTATCTACCACCGAGCAAACCCATCAGAGAAGGCACCCGGCGAAGGGCTGGATCTTTCATCTTTGGAAATGGACTGAAAAGATATTTAATGTGTCCAGAACTCTTCTTCCGGGAGACCAATATATCTTTTTTATTCAGTTACTTCGAGGAGGGTTCCCAGTAAATTTTGCTTGGTAAGAGCATGGAGTCCCGTAGAATGTATCTTGGATGTTTACGTTGCAAAAACCCAGAGCACTGTTATTTATTTCTTCTTTCAAAAAAGCAAGACACCAATAAACTACCGCTTAACTTGTAAATCACAAAAGTGACTAACCTGAAGGAAAGTTATGTGAGGACTAAGGAAGAGGGATTATTTATTCTACTGCAGGAACTTATCTATAAAGAGAACGATACGTTTTCTGATCACGCTTTGTTTCTCAAATCGGTTAATTCTGTTTTCTGGTCATTCTTAGAAAGCTATAAATTGTTCATCCATTTGTCAAAAATGAGTTTTCACTGCTTCAAGACCCATTCATTTTCTAAACCTGTTGCATAGTCAGTGTGACTTTGTGAAGTTACTTCTTTTGTTCCGTTCCAGTGTTGAGTAGCTCTCTTTTTGCCCGACTCAGTACTTTAGGGTTTATTTTGGTTTGGTTTGGTTTTGGGGTTTTTCCTTAATTTGGTTTTGAGGAAGCCTATTCTCCGACATTATTAGCCAAGTTAGACACTACTACCACCCTGGCAACTGCCTTCGACTTGAATTTTATTTCCTCTAGGAAGACAGGATGGAAACCCCCCTTTACGTTTTGGCTTCCCAGGAGCCTCAGCCCAGCCGGACCAGCGCGTCAGGTTTCGGGCAGGAAACGTCAGGGCGCCTTTAAGAGGAACCTGCGGTAATTTTCCACCGCCCCGCCGACGCGGCGGGGCGCTGGGCGCGGCAGAGTGCGGCTGCGCGGTGGGGCGCGCGCCTCCGTTGCCAGGATACCGCCTCCTCCACCCCCGGCGCCAGAGCCCGTTTGTTTCCAAGATGGCCCCCGAGTCTTGTTGCAGTGCGCCAGGAACAAAGCCAGTTGCACACTGTTGAGCTTAGCAGAAAGCAAGACTTGCAGGGCGGGCTTTCAGACTGTTCAGTGTGAATGATTATTTACTGTTATAACCTTACAAAAATCTGTTCAGTTATGTTGTCTGAATGAGAAAAATCAAGGGCGTGCCTCACGGTCTAAGCCTTTCTGTGGCAGGGCTTTGACATTCGTTGTTGCTTTTGATAAGAATTCTGGCTTTTCTTGTTAAACTAGCTCAGGAAGAAGTCTAGGCTATGACGGTTGACTGTAGAGCCATATAATTAACGTGTAGTTCAGTTTGGATAATGATGCCCTTGGCCATTGCCCACTCCCCTCCCATGTGTTCATTTTTCTATTTTTCTTTTTCTTGAAATGTTAGTTTACGGCCGGGCACGGTGGCTCACGCCTGTAATCCCAGCACTTTGGGAGACCAAAGCGGGCAGATCTCGAGGTCAGGAGTTCGAGACCATCCTGGCCAATGTGGTGAAACACCGTCTCTACTAAAAATACAAAAAGTAGCTGGGCGTGGTGATGGGTGCCTGTAATCCCAGCTACCGGGGAGGATGAGGCAGGAATCGCTTGAACCCGGGAAGCGGAGTTGGCAGTGAGCTGAGATCGCTCCACTGCACTCCAGCCTGGGCAACAAGAGCTAGACTCCGTCTCAAAAAAAAAAAAGTTTACACCCAGATTTGATCTTATCGCACCACTATATTATAAATTTCTTTTGGGATAGGAACTTTGTTTTTTTGTTTGGTTATTTATTACTATTATTATTTTTAGACAGAGTGTTCTTCTGTCACCAGGCTGGAGTGCAAGTGGCATGATCTTGGCTCACTGCAACCTCTGCCTCCCGGGTTCAAGCGAATCTCCTGCCCCAGACTCCCGAGTAGCTGTGACTAGGGGCACGCTTTACCATGCCCGGCTAATGGCACTTTGTTTTTTATCCATCTATATAAGGCAAAAGTGGCTCTGCCTGTAACAAACCTTCAAATAATGTTGCTAAATAATATTAGTCAACATCGAAAAGATACATCTATTCTGCCAAGCACTGTCATAAGATAGGTACCTCTGTTTTATCCCCCATTTTACAGATAGAGAAACTAAGGCACTGGGAAGTTAAGTAATTCCCTGAGGTGCCACAACTAGCAGTGCAAGGTGGAATCCGCATCCATACGTGGGCAGTCCGAGTAAGAGCCTGCCCTAGGCAGCCATTGTGCTCTACTGACTCTGTAAATAAAATGCCATTGGGAGTCCATGATGTCTTCTAAGTGCAGCACTTGCAGACAGAAGTGTGAAAGCCTCTTTCCGTGAAGCACATCCCTCTTTTTTGTGAACTGACTTTCCATGTTTGAATCAGGTATTAGTCATCTGGGCATTTAGATGCTTCCCTCTGAGCTGAAAGACCCAACCATAGCCAACGTTGGTGGCAGGGGTTGGGGAAATATAATTTAAAATTTCCTGCCAACCTAAAAAACAACAAAAACCTACCCACAAAAGCAGAGGAGAAAACAGTTTTATGATAGAATAAGCATTAAGCTAAAATGTGGTGTGCATTACAGGACATCAGCTAAAGAGATTGCAAAGGACAGAAAGAAATTTCACCCTTTGACATACCTAAGCAGATACACCCCATTACCATACATGTTCTCAAGATCAAATAGTAACTAGTCTCCAAGTAAACGGACTCGGCAACACCATTTGTTATGCCTAGTTCATACAAAATGCACATGGTAATTGATAGCTGATAATCTGTTAGCTAATTAGTTTTATTGACTGATTGATTGAGACAGAGTCTCACTCTGTTGCCAGGCTGGAATGCAGTGGCGAGATCTCGGCTCACTGCAACCACCTACTGGGTTCAAGTGATTCTCCTGCGTCTGCCTCCCAAGTAGCTGGGACTATAACTATAGGTGTGTGCCACCATGCCCAGCTAATTTTTTGTTGTTTTTAGTAAAGAGAGCGTTTCCTCATGTTGGCCAGGATGGTCTTGATGTCTTGACCTTTTCATCCACCCGCTGCCTTGGCTTCCCAAAGTGCTGGGATTACAGGCGTGAGCCACAATGCCCAGCCATTTAGTTTTATTTATTTATTTATTTAGAGATGGAGTTTCGCTCTTGTTACCCAGGCTGGAGTGCAATGGCGCGATCTCGGCTCACCGCAACCTCCGCCTCCTGGGTTCAGGCAATTCTCCTGCCTCAGCCTCCTGAGTAGCTGGGATTACAGGCACGCGCCACCAGGCCCAGCTAATTTTTTGTATTTTTAGTAGAAACGGGCTTTCACCATGTTGACCAGGATGGTCTCGATCTCTTGACCTCGTGATCCACCCGCCTCGACCTCCCAAAGTGCTGGGATTACAGGCTTGAGCCACCGCACCCGGCGCCATTTAGTTTTATTTAAAGGAAAAATAAACTTAAATTTTTATAACAGGAATTAGGTTTGCCCCTTGAAGTAAGGCACCTTCTGGAGTTTAAGACTCCTGCTCGCCCACAGAAACTGGGAAGTAGGTAGGGACGCTACCTTCTGTGGTAATTAGATTTCAAAGAGACAGCTCCCAGGTCATTGAGTAAGACATTTCTGGGTTGTAAAGCTGGCAAGAGGCTTATTTAGCTTTTAAAAAGATTTACATACCTCTCAAAGGGATAGAGAAAGAATTTTCCTCTACAAGTTTTCTCAAATAAATGCTGAAAGGAAGGGAGGAAGGGAGTCTTTTCCCTTGCTGTACTAAGGACACATTGATTTATATTTTAGATCTGCATCCGTGTCAAGATTAAGAGACCAGCTATTCCAGTCAAAGTTTGCATTCAGAGTTTCACCTTGCTGGTCCACCCTTGCCACAGACATAGTAATGAATCAGACAGTGGGAAGCCAGGAGAAACGTACTGTCTAGTGCTGATGGTTAAATCCTTTATTTTAATGGACATTTTTACTTCCTGGTTTCTTTGAAATTAAGTCGCATTTCTGGCAGAAGCTGAAGTGAATTTGCATGCTGCACCAGACCACAAAAATGTGTCTAAGAAATGCAGACCAGGCAGCTGGCCTTGATGTTCTTTCAAGTCGTCTTCACTCCTCAGTCTCATCTACTCATGTAGGCACCTTGGAGCTGCCTCACAAAGAGGACTTCTCTCCACTGACCTCCTGAGCTTGACACCATTGCTACTAACATCCTACCTTAGCTTCTTTTCCAAAAGACTCCGGCTGCTTGTGCCTCCACATCTTAGCCTGTGCTGATAACCAAGCCTGGACCAGTTTCCTTCACCATTTCTGCTGGCTTGGCTCAACCAGCAGGACAGTTCTACTATCCTTTCCTTCTGGAATCCTGCCCTGACCTACCTTCCTGCTCACGCACCTGCTTCTGATTTGGTCTCCCCTGGGCTGCCAGACCACTTGGTAAGTTCTCCTATTACAGCACACAAATAGTTAGTGTGGGTAGTCTTGTTTAATTCTCTAGTCCATAACTCCTTATTCTGTATTCAAGGATTGTTTAATCTTTGTGTTCCCGGCACCTCACAGCAGGATGTCTACATGAGTAGAGTAGATCTGAGATCTGAGATCTTTTTTTCTTTTTTCTTTTCTTTTCTTTTTTTTTTTTTTTTTTTTGAGACCCAGTCTCACTCTGTTGCCTAGGCTGGAGTGCAGTGATGTGATCTCGGCTCACTGCAACCTCCACCTCCCGGGTTCAAGCGATTCTCCTGCCTTAGCCTCCTGAGTAGTTGGGATTACAGGCACATGCCATCACACCTGGCTAATTTTTGTATTTTTAGTAGAGACGGGGGTTTCACCATGTTGGTCAGGCTGGTCTCCAACTCCTGACCTCATGATCCAGCCTCCCAAAGCGCCGGGATGACAGGCATGAGCCACCGCACCTAGCTGATCTGAGATCTGAAACTGGCGACCTACAGGTTGAGTCAAGCCCACCAAAACTATTTTGTTTGGCTCTTTTGTTTCGTAAAATTTGAAGCTACATTTAAAAATCTGAATTTACATACAAGTCAGAGATTCAGCTTATCTTAAAGAACAAGATATGGCTACCCTAGCAGCAGGTGCCTGGGGCTACTTTAGCTGATATGCGAGCTCTCCACTTTGCCATAGCCTTTGCTTCCCCATTGCTTCCCTATTGCTTCCCCATTGAGGCTAAGTATGAAGTGTCATTTATATTGAGTCTGCACTAATATTTTACTTGGAGTGAAATATTTCTAAGTACCAAAAGAGAGAAAAGAAGACAAAGCATCTTTCAAGAATGATGAGAGGGAGCCCCTTTTTTTTTTTTTTTGGTGGGGGAGCCCATTTCTTTCTTTTTCTTTCTTTTTTTTTTTTTAGATAGAGTTTCATTCTTGGCCGGGTGCGGTGGTTCACGCCTGTAATCCGAGCACTTTGGGAGGCCGAGGTCAGTGGATCGCGTGAGGTTAAGGGTTCAAGACCAGGCTGGCCATCAGGGTGAAACCCCATCTTTATTTTTTTTTTTTTTTAATTAAAAAAAAATGATAGAGTTTCTTTCTTGTTGCCTAGGCTGGAGTGCAATGGAGTGATCTAGGATCATCGCAACCTCTGCTTCCCTGGTTCAAGCGATTCTCTTGCCTCAGCCTCCCGAGTAGCTGGGATTACAGGTGCACACTACCATGCCCAGATAATTTTTTTCTTTTTTCTTTTTTTAACCATAACTCAGAACCATCATCATATAAATAATTTCGTATTTTTAGTAGAGATGGGTTTTCTCCATGTTGGCAAGGCTGGTATCAAATTCCTGACCTCAGATGATTCACCCGCCTCGGCTGCCCAAAGTGTTGGGATTACAATAATCAGCCACCGTGCCTGTCTGAGGGAGCCCGTTTCCTAGTAGAAATGAAGAGTTGCCTCTGTTTGTTAGACACATATAATGTGTCTGTTTCTATTTTTCTTAAATCCACCTGCTTATTAAAGTTAGCTTCCTGGCCCCTATAGATATTTGAATTTTTTACTCTTAGAGTGAAAAACTGAGGCAGGGTGGGGTTGTGGGGGAGGAGGAAGGAAGGAAGGAAAAACAAGTTCAGCAAATGGCTGATCCCAAACTAGCTGGTGTGGGGGCTCATGACTATAATCCCAGCACTTTGGGAGGCAGAGGTGGGCGGATCACTTGAGCCTAGGAGTTTGAGACCAGCCAGGACAAAATAGGGAGACCTTGTCTCTATAAAAAGTTTATTAGCCAGTCATGGTGGTGTGTGCCTGTAATCCCAGCTACTCAGGAGGCTGAGGTGGGAGGATTGTTTGAGCCCAGGAGATTGAGGCTGCGGTAGACTGTGATTGTGCCACTGTACTCTAGCCTGGGTGACAGAGCAAGACCCTGTCTCAAAAGCAACAATAGCAAAACAAAACACAAATACCCCAGCCTGACCAACATGGTGAAACGCCGTCTCTGCTAAAAGTGCAAAAATTAGCCTGGTCTGGTGGTGTGTGCCTGTGATCCCAGCTGCTAGGGAGGCTGAGGCAGGAGAGTTGCTTGAACCCTGGAGGCAGAGGTTGCAGTGAGCTGAGACTGTGCCACTGCATTCCAGCCTGGGCAACAGAGTGGAAACGAAACACACACACACAAAAAAACAAAAAAACAAACACTTTACTTAAACAGAATTCCCTAATTACCCACTTAAACAGACTTCCTGGCCAGGTGCAGTGGCTCATGCCTATAATTCCAGCACTTTGGGAGGCCAAGGCAGGTGGATCATGAGGTCAAGAGATCGAGACCATACTGGCCAACATGGTGAAACCCCATCTCAACTAAAAATACAAAAATTAGCTGGGTGTGGTGGTGCACACCTGTAGTCCTAGCTACTTGGGAAGCTGAGGCAGGAGAATCGCTTCAACCCAGGAGGCGGAGGTTGCAGTGAGCCGAGATCTCACCACTGCACTTCAGCCTGGCAACAGCGAGACTCTGTCTAAAACAAACAAACAAACAAATAAAAAAAACCCAGGTTTCCCAAATTACCATCCGTAATGCTTTCACCGTGGACATCTTTTCTCACATTTGCTGCTTTTTAGTTGAGTGTGGGAAGTGTAGGGGCAGAAAAATGTGATGATACCTTTCTTCATCCTTAATAAAGGTCACGGCAGCACTCCTATGACAAAAGACAGGTTAACAAGAGAAAAGCATAACCAATTTATCTAGCTGAAGTTTTCAGTGACTGGGGAGCCTTCAGAAATGAAGAGCCAAAGGCCCATGGAAAGCTTTCCATTTTTATGCTTAGGGTTCCTGAAGCATGGACAGGCATGCAGAAATAGCAGAGAGGGTGTGAGCTAGAGCTAAGAGCCAGAGGCAGGGAAACCAAGTAAGACCCGTCTGTTCAGATTCTTCCTGGCCTCGCTGTGTGCCCTTCTTTCCTCCTGGGTATAGGGCAGGACTCCTTGTGGAACAAGGGTCTTGTGATCTACTATCAGACAAGGTAGGTCAAAGAATTTGTTTATGGCCAGCTCCTAAACAGAAAGGCAGGGGAATCCAAGAGTAGTAGTATTTCTGGCTTCTGTGACCTGCCTTTGGAAAAAGGAATTCTAGTTTCTCTTTCTTTTTTTTTTTTTTTTTTGAGATGGAGTTTTGCTCTTGTTACGCAGGCTGGAGTGCAGTGATGTGATCTTGGCTCACCGCAACTCCGGGATTCAAGCAATTCTCCTGCCTCAGACTCCTGAGTAGCTGGGATTACAAGCATGTACCACCACATACGGCTAATTTTGTATTTTTAATAGAGATGGTGTTTCCCCATGTTGATCAGGCTGGCCTTGAACTCCTGACCTCAGGTGATCTATCTGCCTTGGCCTCCTAAAGTGCTGGGATTACAGGCGTGAGCCACCGCGCTCGGCAGGAATTCTAGTTTTTCTGGCCTGCTTTAGGGGAGAAGTGGGAGAGGAAGACAGAAGGGCAACAGAAGGTCTGAGAGAGACTTTGCTTCTGAGGCCCTTCCATCATCCCTCATTTCAAAGTACTTGGCATCCCAACGCTCCACACTTTCAGGTATCATTTTCTAAGCCCCAGCAACACAATACTCAGTTTTCTATACCATTACCTTGGCAAAAGCCTGTTAGTTAAGCTTATAGATATGCATTTTGTCCTCAATGACACCAGAAATATAGAATACATATAAAAAAGTTCACTTCGGGGCCGGGCGCGGTGGCTCAAGCCTGTAATCCCAGCACTTTGGGAGGCCGAGGCGGGTGGATCACGAGGTCGAGAGATCGAGACCATCCTGGTCAACATGGTGAAACCCCGTCTCTACTAAAAATACAAAAAATTAGCTGGGCATGGTGGCACGTGCCTGTAATCCCAGCTACTCAGGAGGCTGAGGCAGGAGAATTGCCTGAACCCAGGAGGCGGAGGTTGCGGTGAGCCGAGATCGCGCCATTGCACTCCAGCCTGGGTAACAAGAGCAAAAACTCCGTCTCAAAAAAAAAAAAAAAAAAAAAAAAAAAAAGTTCACTTCATATGGGTAATTAGTTTTTCAGAGCATTATCCACAGCACCTTATATATGATAGACATTATCTGCTAGGTAGACTGAGAACTGTTTTGCATAGGAACAGGAAAAAAGTTAGTCTTGTTGCTATCAATGCTTCTATAACAAAATAAGCGTCTGAACAAATACTGTCTTTCCTTTCTAAACACCAGTGATGTAGCACTGATGCAAGTGCAAAGTAGTAAAACAATGAGGTTCTGTTTCACCTGAAATTTATTTATTTATTTATTTATTTATTATTTTTGAGATGGAATCTCACTCTGCCCAGGCTAGAGGGCAATGGTGTGGCTCATTGCAATCTCAACCTCCCAGTTTCAAGCAATTCTTCTGCCTCAGCCTCATGAGTAGTTGGGATTACAGGCATACGCTACAATGCCCAGCTGATTAGCTTTCTTTTTTTTTTTTTTTTTTTTTTTTTTTTCTGCGATGGAGTCTCACTATGTCGCCAGGCTGGAATGCAATGGCGTGATCTTGACTCACTGCAATCTCCGACTCCCTAGTTTAAGCGTTTCTCCTGCCTCAACTTCCCAGGTAGCTGGGATTATAGGCACATGCCACCATGCTCAGCTAATTTTTGCATTTTTAATCGAGATGGGGTTTCACCATGTTGGCCAGGATGGTCTCAATCTCCTGACCTTGTGATCCACCTGCCGTGGTCTCCCAAAGTGCTGGGATTACAGGCATGAGTTACTGTGCCCAGCCTAATTTTTTGTACTTTCAGTAGAGACAGGGTTTCACTATGTTGGCCAGGCTGGTTTCGAAATCCTGACCTCAGATGATCCACCCACCTTGGCCTCCCAAAGTACTGGGATTACAGGCATGAGCCACCATGCTTGGCCTTCACATAAAATTTAACAAGATAATAAAACCGTATTTCAGAAACTACGAACATTGGTTTTAATTTCAGATATGTGTTT